CATGAAAGATTAGCTATGATGGCATCAACTCATATAAAATATGCACTCTAAACAGCATATGCTTATCTGGCATTTACTATGTTCCAGGTACTTTACATATATTAATTCATTCCATCCTCACAACTAACTCCTGGGAGTTCTCTAGTTTCAGGTAAAATAAAATAAAATAAAATGTGAGCATATAAGTAGAAGCCTTCAAAGGTATATAAATGAGAGTACATCCTATACAATTCTTACTAGAAGTAGCAAAACAGACACGCTGTCCTTGGAATAGCAATTAATCACTCAGTATAGTGAAGGGTTCTATTCCAAAACATTCAAAAGTTTTAAACATTCTAAGGAAAAGAATCAGCAACCTTGTTCTAAAAAGGGCAAGACAGAAAATATTCTAGTCTTTTCAGGCCATATGATCTCTGTCGGAACTTCTCAACTCTGATATTGTGGGAAAGCAGCCATAGATAATATGTAAAGGAATGAGCAGAGCTGTGTTCCAAAAAATCTTTCTGAAAAAAAAAAAATAGAGGACTGGATATGGCCCATGAGGCCATAGTTTGCTGACTTCTGGAAAGAATAACAAAGTCATCTCATACTTTTCCCCTAAAAAGTGAGAGCTGTAGGACCCACCCTTCTCTGTACTGTAGAGAACTTGAGACAGAAAGAGAATGAGAATCAGTGATCACAAATGAAAAAGTGATTAAGAGAAAGAAAGAAAGAAACCCCATGCTGCTTCTATCTGTCTCATAATCTTCTTTAATCAGGTTCTGCGTCCTTATGCAAAACTCCAAAAATAACTAGAAAAAGCTGTTTGGACACAATGAAGAAATAGCCATCATGCAAATGTGCCAATATTGTGCTCAAAGGCAAATTCCACTTTTGTTTGCGAGCTAGTTTTAGATTATTGAAGAAACATGTACAGTAGATTAAAAACAAGTAACTAACTGCATCGCAACTTCTGCTAAGGATCTCAGCTCTTTGCATTTAAACTAAAATTCTAAAATATGTGAACTATGTCTGATTATATCTGAGCCACTGTCAAAGTAGTCTCTTGTACCAGAAAATTATAGATTGTAAGGCAAACAATGAGCAGCACAGTTAGAAGAGAATCATGAGGCTAACACAATTTGGAGGGATACTTATGCTAGATCCTGCTTGAAAGACCTGCATGGGGAGGGTCTCCTGGTCTCCATGGCTTCCATTAGTGCTCCCCACTCAACGCCTTGGGAGCGCTAAGCTGGCCTGGATTGTCACTGTTTATAATTCACTTTTTAAGACAATCCCCCCACACAACTAGGCCCCTCAACCTCCTCACTGTCCCCCTCCCCATCTCATGGGAGTCATCACCATTCCACTGAGTGGCAAAAAAATGCTAATTCATTAATAGCTTTCATACGCATGTTAACTTTTTGATTACAATCATACAAGAAAATATGAAAATCACAAATACCTTTCAGGTCAATAGAGGGATAAAAAGAATTTAAAGAAAAAAGAAACTTGAATGAGTTTAAGTAAAGCATCAAAGAGAAAAAAAAAGGATAGGAAAATGTGAGATAATAGCACAAAATAAATGGTAAGCCCCAAAATTATCAGTAACTTCTACCAAGTAAACTGAAGTTATCAAGTAAAATACAGAGATTGTCAGACAGAATATTTAAATGCCTCTAAATCTTCTTTATAAAACTATTCACCTTAAACCTGAGAACACAAATAGAAAGTTCAAGAACAGAAAATGGATGTATTTTTTGAGTACTAAACAAAATAAAGGTGTTACACCTACATTATTACTAGACCAAATAGTCTTTGAGGCAAACATTGAATTTCTAAGAACAAAGAAATCATTACAAAACAAGAAAAAGAAAAATTCACTAGGAAAACATAACTCTTATTGCATATTCATTTATCATTATAATTATTGAAAGCAAAATTGCAAGAGTTATAGATGTAAATGGATAAATATTAGTGATAGAGACTAAAACACATTTTTCTCAAGGACATGTGGAATGGTTTTAAAAATTGACTACATCTAAATAATAAAATGTTTTTAACAACTGACAATATCTAAGTAATAAAATGTCTCAACAATTTCAAAGAATTTCCCTATACACCATATTCCCTGACCACAGTGCAATAAAGTTAGACATTAATAACAAATAAATATGTTTAATATCTCCGTGTTTAGAAATTAATAACATATTTCAAGTAATTTGTGAATCAAAGAAGATAATATAGTAATAATTAGAAAACAGTAATTCTGTATATCAAAATCTATATGATACAGCTGAAGCAGAACTTATACATTTATAGCCTTAAAGAAAAGAAGAAAGACCAAAAATTAATGAGATAAGTATCCAGTTCATGATGTTATGAAAGGAAAATATATTAAAGAATAAAGCAAGCCAGGCATGGTGACACGTGCCTATAATCCCAGCTATGCGGGAGGCTGAGGCAGGAACCTCACAAGTTCAAGGTCAGCCTCAGTAATTTATCAAGACAATCAGCAACTTATTGAGACCTTGTCTCAAAAAAAAAAGAAGAAGAAGTGGGAATGTACCTCAATGGTAAAGCAACCCTGGGTTCAATCCCTAGCACCAAAAAAAGAAAGAAAGAGAGAGAGAGAGAGAGAAGAGATGCAAAAGTTGTAAGCCAATGGCAGTCCAGGAGAAGATATTTGCAGATAAATAGCAATATAACAGAAAAGGGTTTTATATACAAAATACTTAGAAAGCTTCCAAATACTCATTTTTAAGTGATTGGAATAAATTTTTTCTGGTAAAAATATTACAGAATGGAACTAAAAGGCCAAATAAAGTACATACCATTTCATTACAGATAATTAGCAATGCATAATATTTAAAAGAACCAATAAGAAAACAATTCCAGATATTGACAAGGGACAAAAAGTAATAATACTAGATATAGAACTTCAGGTATTAAATAGAAAATATTTTAAAAGGTACCTCATCACAAATATTTTTGCCACCAAATATTCATTTTGAAAAGACAACACAAATATGAATACAAATAATAATAAATGCTGGCAAGGATGTGGGAGGAAAGGTACACTCATACACTTCTGTTAGGACTGAAAATTAATACAAACATTCTGGAAAGCAGTATGGAGATTCCTCAAAAAAAAAAAAAAAATAGGAATGTTATCCCATTCCTTGTTATATATCCAAAAGATCTAAAATCAGCATACTATAGGGATATGGTCACATCAATGTTTATAGCAGCATAATTCACAATTAGACAAATTATGGAACCAACCTAAGTGCCCTTCAGAAGATGAATGTGGTGGTACACAAAAGAGCATTACACAGCCATAAAGAAGAATGAAATCATGGCATTTGCTGGTAAATGGATAGAACTGGAGGGCATCATGTTAAGTGAAATAAGCCAGACCCAGAAAGTGAAAGGTTGAATATTTTCTCTTATATTCAAAAGCTATCTCCAAAATAAGGGGAAAGAGGTGTGTGTGTGTGTGTGTGTGTGTGTGTGTGTGTGTGTGTGTGTTAGTGAAAGGAATCCCATGAAAATAGGAGGGAGTCAGTGGAGCAGAGGAAGGGGATTGAAGAGGAAGGAAGAGGAAAGAAGATAGGGAGGCATGGTAGAATGAAATCGACCAAACTCTCCTACGTACATATGTGAATAGACCACAGTGAATTTCACCTTTATGTACGTCTATAATGCACTAATTTTTTAAAAAAACTATAAATAAGTAGAAGAAATACCAGTAGAGTAGAGGAAAGGGAACAGGGAGAGGGAGGAGGAGACGGAAAGCGGAAACACTAGGAACTGAAAGGGAGCAAATCATATTCTATGCATGTATGATTATGTCAAAATGAACCCCAATACTATGTATAATAAATGCACTAATAAAAAATTAATAAAAACAATTACACAAGCCAGGCGAAGTGGTGCATGCCTGTAATCCCAGCAAGTAAGGAGGCTGAGGCAGGAGGATGGCAAGTTCAAAGCCAGCCTCAGCTTACCAGCAAAGCCGAGGCGCTAAGCAATTCAGTGAGACTCTGTCTCTAAATAAAATACAAAATAGGCTGGGGATGTGACTCAGTGGTCAAGTCCCCCTGAGTTCAATCCCTGGTTATCCCTGCCCCCAAATAATGATAACACAAAACAAAAATGAACAGGAAAAAAACACTAATGATTACTAAGATTAAAAAAAATAATAATGCTCAATTTCATTAGTAATCAGAGAAATGAAAATTAAAGTAATTAAGTATTATCGGGGAAAACTCAAAATATTGTGTATTTCAAATGTTAGAAATATATAGAAATAAGCACTGTCATACATTGTTGGTAGAAATACAAATTATAGAAAAAATTAAGACAATTTAGCACACTCTAAATTTGGCAGTACAAAATTTGCAAATCCTTTAAGCCCTGCAGTGCCACAGTTAGAAATACGCTCATTGCAGTATGTTTACGATAGAATTAGCAAACATTTAAATGCCCAATCATAGGGGAATAAGCAGTACATTTCATAGTCTATCCCACAAAGATTATCTGGCCATTTTTTTTAAATGAGGTAGACTAATAATAACACCTAACATATTCAAGGGTGGGCAGCATTTTGACTATTTTATGCATATCGACATGATTTATCCCAAAGAATTCTCTGAGGTGTCCTGTTCCTATTTTGCAGATGAGGAACTAGAGACACCTGACTCCACCTGACTCCTCTACAGATGGATGGGGAAAGCACCCATGGGAAACAGCAAGGCACAGAACAAAGACCAGAATGGGAAGGCTGCACATGTATGAATGTGAAGAGAGGTGACCAGAGAGTCATACACCCAAGTATTGACTATCATTAGGTTGGGGAAGGAAGAGGGTGGAAAGGCCCCAAAGGTGATTTTTATAGTCGATTGTATACTCTTCTGCTGCCATCAACAACCATGCATGCATGTACAGCCTGTGTCATTGAAACAACCAACTCCCAAAGTGAGCCAATCAAAAAAAAAAAAAAAAAAAGCAAGTCTGACCTGGTACAGAGGGTTTAGTCCCATTTCCTTTGTCCACAACCTTGGCTCTGGGCTTTGTTGGATCCTTTCTCTTTTCCAAATCTTTAACTGGAAGAAAAGTAGAAATACAGCTATACGTTAAGGTCCAAAAGAAAAAAATTCAATAAGTTTTTACTAAAACCCCTGAAAACCCTTAGAATATTAATAGAAATCAGTTCCATGGCACAAGCACATCCCCAAATATTAGAACTGCTGAGTTTTTTCAACCTTTTCAGGAAAAGGTGCAGAAAGCACTTAAGGAATTTGCGTTGAGTACTGACTACGGGCAGAGGTATCAACTAAATTTCTTCCTTCATACCTGCTGCAAAATTAGCATATTACTCCCATCTCATACACAAGGGTATAAAAAGCCAGGAGACCAAAACACATCTTATAAAACCAATGGGTGCTCGCCTAAGATATATGTCATATCTTCATGTCCCTGGACTTGGCCTATGAGCTTGACTCTCTTTCTAGAAAGATATTAGCCATGAATAGTTTCCTTTGAAATGACTCCATCTGCAACAGGAGAACCCTATAACAGTTTTCTTTCAAACTTAAAAAAAAAATGTTTCTCTATTAACAAAGGGTAGTGTTTCTTTGTCACATTAATAGGAAACAGAGACCAAAAAATGATCTTTGGCCCTTTGATACACTACCAACTTAACACCATTAGCTTAACTTTGTATTTGTATTCTCTGCTTAAAATCCACAACAGTTTTCCTGCCATTACTTGGAAGCTTAAACAGTTGGAGTCATTCAAGACCACCACCAAATGGCAAGTTCTGCACCAACAAAATGCCCTGTGACTATGCAGGAGCAAGCCAACAGCAACAAACTTCATTTACTTGTACATTCACCTCACAGAATCAGCACATTTAGGACCGGGTAGGCTACATGGGGAAAGCAATGGTTTTCTCCCACCCTTCCTTGCTGTCTTCTCCAGGATGTGGTTCCAAGGCTCCTGTCCTTCTCATAGCCTCCACCTCTTTCTTTCCACTGGCTTCTATCCTTCTGCCTAAAGAGTTTGAGACCTGTCATCCACCAAGAAATTCTCACTCCAACTCTATTGTTTCTGTCTGTGAAAACCTTCCTTGGCTTTCTGGTACCCAGAAATTAAATTACAAGATTTAAAAGAAAAAAAAGTAGTAAGATACTTTGATCATGCTAGTCCTACTGACCTAATTTTTTTACATTCACTTTAGAGCTTATTCTCTAGCTTCTTTATAAGCATGGGCCCTTTGGAGCACCACTTTTATTATGGTTTAGATGTAAGTTGTCCCCCAAAAGCTCACGTACAAGACAATGCAAGAAAGCTTAGAGGTAAAACGATCAGATTATGAGAGTATTTACCTAAACAATGTGTTAATTCACTCATAGGATTAAAAGGCAGTAACTGTGGGCAGGTAAGGTATGGCTGAAGGAGGGGGGTACCTGGGGATGTGCCCTTGAGGTTTATATTTTGTCCTTGTTGAGCAGATGTCCCCAGCTGCTTTTCTCTACCCACATACTTCCACCATGATGTTCTGCCTCACCTAAAGTCCCAAGGAAGGGAATGGGCCATCTGTGGATTGAGACTTCTGAAACCGTGAACCCTCAAATAAACTTTTCTTCCTTTGAGATTGTTCTTGTCAGATCCTTTGGTCATAGCAGTGAAAAAACTGACTAAAACAGCTTTTAAAAAAATCTTTTTCTCAGCTTTTACAAAGGCATTATCCTGGATAACCCCTCCTTTATATTCTCATTCTTTGGATCTTTTTCTATTTCATTCCAGGAAAAAAAAAATGATCGTCTGCAAAAGCTGCCTTGCATCTCTGTAAACTCCGCCTGTAATTGTATTATCACACAATTTAAGTTCTCATCTTCCCATGGATAATTTCCAAATCTACATCTTCAACTCCACCCACACATGGACTTTGGCCACAAATTACTTATATTTTCTCAAAGAATATATGTTGGCAAATTTAATATAAGAAAAATTGTGCTGAGTACGGCCAGAGGTAGAAATAGATCTGGGAAAGAATAATAATTCCAAAGATGGAGTCTGGAGAAATTTCACTGGAAAGGTGACATTTAAGTCACATGGGCAGAATTTTGCAGGCAGAGATCAGCAAAAGAACATTGCAAAAAGGAAAAATGGTTACTGAAAATAAAGTTTGCCATGACACACCATAACCCCAATTGTGGATAAAAAAGAAAAATAAATCACTTTGAAAATTGGGTCAATGGGTCACCTAGAAGGTGCAACAGATATATCACACCTAGTTGCTATCCTATTCATGGAAAGACATAACTAGAAAACTGTCGTGAGCAAAGTGGTTTACAACAGTAACTACTATGTCTTACTATGTGCTGATGTTAATCCACACAACATTACATACATGCTGTCATCCCCATTTGCAGATGAGGAAACCAAGACTGGAAGTGATTGTCATGTGTGGCAGATTTGGACGCCTAATATCCTGCGTTTGGACATGCCCTTCTGTCTTTAAAATCCAAAGGTTGTATAGGTTTCCTATATATCCAAAAGAAGATGGCTCACAAAGAATCCAAATCCCTGCACTAGCTGCAAACCTATACCCACAAAGCTTTGTCTTGACCACAATTTTGTTGGATCTAACTTTGAAATTTTTCAAGTCATAGAAACCAGGCTTTAACTCCATCTTACAGGGAGGAAGAATATTACTGACATGCAACATTAAAAATGAAAGCAAGCCAAGAAAAAGTTAACTGAATTTCTTTCTTAGAAACTGTTATTTAAGTCAAACTAATCCCTCTTTCTTGCCAGTAACAATAACATAGCTAAGAAAAAGTCTGCATATAATTTTTCTAGCTAACCAGTTAGACCTTTGCTACAATTATTCCTCAGAGCTAATCAAGCTGTAAACAAATGAATTTCTTTTTAAGTACTTTGAATAAGTAGCTACTGAGAAAGTTTTTTTAAGGGCCTTTGTTTCTTCTACTGCTCTGTTGGTGGGATATTTGAAATATACAGTTGTAAAACCTTCGGACTCCAGCTAAACAAACCATTTCACCTTTTACTGCTTCTCACTGACTTTAAATTATTTCATTCACTTTATATAGAGATATAAGATGCTAAAAACTGAATAAAAGAAGAGGCTGATTTATACTAAAAATAATATTAAAAAACTTTTCCAGAGCTTGTGGACAATAAGAGTCTCAAAAGAATATAATATTTATAACATCTGTACATCCTACTGATAGGTGAATATACCAAATGTCTTTGTTCACATGTTTCAAGAGGTAGTAGGTTAACAAAGTTTTGTTTGATTTCATTCTAGTTTTTTTTTTTTTAAGTCACCAAATGTTCACACAGAACATTACTCAGGGAAGGAAGAAAATAGGAAACATGGTGTAGTAAATCTAGACAGAACATTGATATACAGAGTTTCAGATTCTGTGGCCTCCTGAATGTGTGGATTAATCTTACAGCAGAATTGAAAAAGCTGTTGTTTAATATAAAGTGATTCTATTTTAAATAATGTCTATGATTTGCATCAAGACAGTAAAGAGAGTGTGGCCCTATATAGGAAGAAGACTGACCATGAGTGGCTAATTGCTAAAGCTGGATGATGAAAACTTAGGGGTTTATTGTACCATTTGGTTGATTTGGAGATATTATGTTTTAAATTGCTCTTTGGCAATGAAGTAACAGAAAGTTAACCAGGATAGACTTCTGTTCTTACTCACAATACAAGAATTTTGTCCTTCATATTTGAAAGATCACCTCTGGGAAGAGGGCCTCTCTGGTAACTAGAATACCCAGTCTATAGAAGCAATGATTTAACATGTGTCTAGTACTGAGAATATGGCCTGCTACATGGTAGACATGTAGTACATATTTTTAATCAAAAAAGGAGTGAATAAATAAATGAATGCATCCTGATAGTTATAGAACCAGGGCCTGTGTGACCTAATTTTAAACTCTATTTTAGGAAAAGCTTTCTAATAGAACTATGCAGACCTGAACTGGGCAACTTCAGGGCTTTCTCCCCTGGTTACAATATCCCCTGCACACTCTACATTTGCTGAATGATTCTACAGAGGAGATGCAGGCATCATCATATAGTTTTTAAGTACTTATTGAGCACCTATTATGCCATGCATATGATATGCAGTTAGAATATAATGAAAAATAGAAGGAATTGAACCTCTGACTTCTCAAACCTTATAGGCTTGTTTGTCAGGGACACAGAGAAATAAAAAGGCCACTGCAATACGATGTCATTTGAACCAGAGGGGAAGCTAGTACAACCAGAGAAGGTACATAGGAGAGATGTCTAAGTAAAACTCAGGAAACAATGTCAGGGAGAGCATTTGGAAAGTAAAACTTGAAGAATTGGAGGAATCCACCACAATAAGGAAATGGAAGGGTAGAGATAGGAGGAATACATAGAAGGTTGGAGTGAAGTTCTTTTAAGATCTTTGCAAATCTAGAAAAAAATCTACATTTGTAAGCATTTAGAATATATACGACAGATTCAAATACAATGTTGGAACAGAGCCCCACAGTGGTTCTTTAAGACCTATAAATACATACTTCTGAATTGGCCTTGAGCTGGCTTGCTTTCTTTGTCTTTATGGTATGCAATAAGTTGAACTGTGTAATTCTGCTCTGGCATAAGACCTTGAATAATTGCTTTAGTTGCAGTGTTCTGGAGATTCAATTGATTGGTTTTTCCTCCTATAATAAAACAGAAAGATAAACAGTTCTACATAAGGTTAACTATGTGTATTATGAAATAATAAAACAAGATTTTAAAAGGCTAAGACACCTTTAAAATTCATTTTCACTGTTTACTTTTACAGTGTACAGCATAATGTTTTGATGTACACTGAAAGGTAAAGGCGTATAAAAATGCATGTAATAAATAGTACGTGGATATAGCACTTCCTTGGAATACAACTTTCTCATTTTCAGCTGTTCTTTTTTACTAGAAAACTTGGACAACTGACTAAATTAGATAAAAGCACATTAATGAAAATCTTCCATCACAGCATACTATGACTTGTATTCTCTAGGCAAAGCCATGATACAAAGGCAGAAGACAGCAGGCCCTCAATATCAGATATACTCTTCAAGGAAAAGAGTTCCGCTTAAAAATGAAAAGGGAGCTATGAGCAGGCTGAACATAATTATCCACACTGGAATTTTTCCTATGGCCTCTCTAAGTAATTCAAAGCATCCTGGAAACATGAACAATTGAATTATCTTAAATCTAGCCACCATGGGCTCAGGATGCTGAAGAAACCATGCATTGCCTGCCCACTTAAGAGTTTCTGGTACGGATTACTGCATCTGAGAAAAGGGAAATTAATTTAAAACTCTGTCCCTCTATCAGTAACAGCAAGAGGGGTTTGAAATTTGCCAAATTAATCAAAGATAACACAAATTATAATATATTTTAATTATATTCTAATAAAATGAATGTCATTAAGTTTGAAAGGTGTTTTTGCTGTTACTTTTCATGCTGCCTGCTACTAGAACAGAAAGTTGGGTCTTTCTCGTGCCAAAGCCCCTTTCTTTAAATGCATTTGCATCCAAGATGTTAAATCTGGTTTCACAAATTTCTATCATTTAAAATTCACCCACTATAAAATTCACCAAAAGTAAATTCTCATAATGGGTGCTTTCCTAAAAACAAAAAGCTCCATGTAAAACCCTGTGTATTACAGTCTTCTGTTGAGAGTTACATAATGTATTATTTTATTAAAGGCTTTGAGAATCCTTCCATTAAAAAGTTTAAAACTCTGTCTAAACTAGCATTTCCCAAATCTATTTGACTATTAAACCATTTGATTGCATAAGGGCTATTAGCATCCTTGCAGAATAGCATGGTGAAAGACTGGCATAAACAATACTTGGACTATGTTTCAAAGTACTAAAACACCTATAAACAGTATGTGTCTAGATTTATTTATTGCAGTTTTATTTACTATATCTAGTCGAGTAGATACCAGAGTGTCAAGTTGTTCAATTGACTTGGGGCACTGTAATAAGGACATTATGCAAAGTAAACTCAACATTCATCAGGAAATAATTTGCTTTCACCCCAGTTTTTATTTTCATTTTATCCATATTTTTATTTTTATTTCACTGTGGACATTTAAGTAAGAGTTGGGCACATACATTTTTGGATGCACAGTTTCAGAGGGGATTGAAGGATCAGGTTGAGGTTTGGCTCAGAAGCCATCCAAATAACTTCTAAGATTGTATGGTTCCTCATTACATTCCAAAATCTGACATAGGGAATTCTCAAAAGTACCACAAATTAGTAACTTGTATACTGACATTTAGATAGAATCATAATGGTATTCTAGAATCTCTTACATTTTAAACTTCCATGCTGTCTTCTTCTTTTAAACCATATATATATATTAGTTGTTAACAGACCTTTATTTTATTTATTTATATGCTGAGAATCAAACCCAGTGCCTCACACATGCCAGGCAAGTGCACTACCACTGAGTCATAGCCCCAGCCCCTAAACCAACTATTTTTAAAAGTCCAAAAAATTCAAAATTGGGACACACTCCAAAGTGTAGTGTCTGACCCAGTCTTGAGAATCAAGAGCTTCTTTCTCCAAGTGAGTCACTTCTGTAGGCCACCACAGGAAAAGTTGGCATCTGCTGTCATTCAACTGAAAGTCACTCTAATGAGCCTATGCATAGTATTTCTTAACTTTAAAAAATGCCCTTTTTAGTGATCAACCAAGAAGCCAGGTGATTCAGCTGTCTGTCTTGTTTCTCAGATTTAATACAAATAGGAATTGCCTAGGGACTCTTAAAATTCAGATGCCAATTCAGGAGTTTGGAGTTGAGACCTTATCTTTAGCATTTCATAACAAGCTCTCATGCCAATATTACAGGTCCCCAAATCTACCTTCATGAAACCTCCACAAGGAAGTCACTAACATTGCCTGACACATTGCATAGAAGAAACAGAGGCACTAAGATATTAAATACCTCTCCAGAATCACACTACTTAAAAATGACCAAACCAGGGTTTGAACTAAAAAGTCCAGTTGTTGATTCCTTCTTCATTTCCACGACACCCATGCAATCCCCCCACATGCCCTCTCTTCAGTTTATCATACTTGTATAATAGAAGCATAAATATGAGAAAGAAAAATTCAACTAAAATTAAATTAAAATTTTTTACATATTACTTTATACTCATGATTGATAAATTTGTTCAACTTATATTTTTCCTGCTTTAATTTATCACTTAGTTTTACAATGTCTACTTAGCCTTTACAGTAATAAGGTATAATTTCTGAATTATAACATTCTATCAAGTTAATTGATTATAATGTATTTAAATAGTCATGACACCCAGGTGTATTATACGTTTGAAGCATCATTGGACTTGAACAGAGATTCTTCCATGCTCTGGAAATGTGACCTGAAGAGAATTAATTACAGAGAGATCAAGATCACTTTTTTATACTTTGGAGAACATAATTTCTTTGATTACAAGATGAGATTTCAAGCTTAAAAGATTAAATAAAACAAAGAGCTTTCAAATGATCCCTAAAGCAACACTTCCAACTACCTATACAAAAGAAGGTGCTAATGCTCTTGTTGATTGTTTTTACCTGAAGCTGGAGTCACAAGAAGTTTGTATCCGCCAAATTTCCCTCTTGGAGCCTTCCATGAAATCTGTATACTGTCCTGAGATAAGACATTATATCTTAACCGTGTGGGTGGAGCCACTGAAAAGGAAGAATAAAATGGTTTAAACATGGAAATGTCCACACTTCATTTTTTAAACTGAAAAATCAAAGTAACATTCAAAATACACATGCTTCATCAGCCTCAAACTATGCTCTCTCTAAAACCCCATTAATGTTCAGTTTGTAAAATAATGCAAATGGGAAGGCATTTGTTTTTTACTTAACAGACACCTATTTGTCAAATATGACTCCTTATGACAAAGAACTAAGTCTTAGTGTTAGAAATTATTTCTCTATCCTAGTTTAAAAATTGAAGCCAATTTTGTAAAATCCCTCTATTATATTGTAAAGATGAATTTCCTACTTGGAACTTGTGAGCATTTATAATCTTCTCCACTGGGACCACTGTACGCATGACTTTTGGTTTCTCACTGTAGTAATCCAATATTTTTAATGATATAATATTTGAGAAGGATATTAGAACATATTATGGTAATAATATTAGTCACTTAAAACATATGAGAAAGAAATTACAAAGGCATTCAGGATCAAATAAAAGATAATTGTTTTGTAAACTTGGATCAACTCTCCAAGATTAACTGACTTAAACCTGTCAGATACATAGTACATGGGTCATGATTCCACCCAGAATATTTAATAATCATTTTTGACAGATCATCAAAATGGGTAGTTGCTTTTTGAATAAGTCATTCAAATTTTAAAACACGTTTTCAGCACCCTCCATAAATGTTCCAGAATTTCAAAATAAGGACTTTAGTTAAGAAGGTTTTTATTACGTAATACCTAAAAATATCTAGTTTTTTAATAAAAAAAAAAAGAAAGAAAAGTTAATAAATAACAGTAACGTTAGCACTCATTACCCACTCTTATACCCAGCCTTTTTATCTCAGGAAACAGAATACAGGGGAAGGAAAGAAGTGTCCTATAAAATAGGCATGTGGCATAATATGGGGCTTGTATGTTAATATGATTCCCAGTTCCATCACTTACTGACTAAATAACATGGAACAAGTGATTATGTTTTTCCAAAGAATCGGTTTTCTCGGTGTTAGAAAAGGTGACAGCAATACTTTCTGCAAAGGTAAGATGATAATTTTGAATAAGCTAATGGATATAATGTACTACAATAGGTGGTCAATAAATATCTCCTCCCCTTTTTCCTTATTTCCTCTAACTTTGAGCTCAAAAATCCTCAAACATCTGTTGAGTCCTCACAAAAATGTATTGCTATCCCAATTCTGCGGATAAAGGAACCAAGGAGCACCTAAGAGACATGCTCAAGGTTACATACTAGTGAGGGAAAATTATTGACCCCAGATGAAACGTATGCACTATTTGATTGGATGAAGATCTACACTAAGAAGTCACCCTTCACTGAGCTGGATGCATGAAGAATTAACTACTCTACAAACTATTCCCTCATCTGAAGTCAGAAAGCACTGAAAGACACAATCATAAGAATAGTGTTCACTTTCTCATTGTTCCTTACTACCCATAAATAGAGAGTGCTAGTTGTGTGGGACAAGCACATCAGCTTCCCATTCTGAGTTTGATAATGAATGGAAGAAAGAATTTCATTGGTTAATGGGAAAGCAGGAATTTTTTTTATTGATTCTTTTTAGTTTTATATGACAGTAGAATACATTTTGACATAATTATATCTTGTTCTAATTCAGACCCCAGTACCTCTCCTTCCCCTTCCCTCTCCCTACTCACTGCTTCTCCCTCCCTCTATTGATCAGAAAGTACAAATTTATCATAAGGACAACTATTTTCAAATGGAAGTGGAAGGTGGCTAAACCTAGCATTAGGATGAATAGAGAAACTTTTACTATATTGCTCAGTCTTCAACTTGGGAAGAAACTTTATGCATGATAGGTTCTTGTTACTTATGGGAGAAAATTAAAAATAAGAATTAAAAAAAATTAAATACTAGATCCAAGTTTCTGAGTCAAATCAACTCAATGGGCTGGTAGATATCATTGGCCAAGTTCTGCATTGACTGTGCAGTTGAAAGAAAAACAGCATGCCTGAGAACCATCAAGTGGAAAAGTACATCAGATGGGGGCCTCAATCTAGGTGGTTCCAAAAGAGTCAACTGATTCTACCAGCACCCCACTACCACTACCAGGTACATTGAGATCTCACAGAGAGCAGAGAAATTCTAAATCTATAGAGCCTTTCCCATGTAGGCTACTACTTTATTATTTTCTCTGCTTTAATAGCCCTCAACATCTTTTTAGTCAATTGCTAACCTTCTAAACCCCCAGCAAAAAGTACAGAGGACATCATAGACAGTGCTCAGACAATGCAGACAGTGCTCTAGAAACCAGATTAGCGTTGGCTTGTATGGGATTGCTGAAGGACACAAAGTCTGGAGAAAATGCAACAACCAAATCCAACAATAGTCAACGCTTTTCTTAATTTACAAATGATTCATATGACTACAGCTGCATTATGACCGCTAGCAAAAAGCAATACCACTGTGACCTTTTATCAACACATCACATTAACGTCTATAGGATTTAGATAACTCTCATAATTGCTACAAGAAAATCATGATTAGACACGAAGTTCACAATCCCTTTAAGTTTTTGCCTTTGGGGAAAAAACATTGAAAAAAGAAATGCTAGTTAAAAAAGAAAGAGGCATGAGGTCACAGTTGTGGATTTCAAAGTTAGCCCTTTTCCCCTTTTGGAAGGTCCTGGGACCTGAGCCAAAACCAAGGGCAGCAAAATTGACAGAAACACTGTTAGTTTCATGGAGAAATAATTGCTCTTATCTCATGGAACAAAAATTTGTATATAGTTAATACCAGACCCATGATTTTTTTTTTCTTTTAACAAGCACAAAGGAAGGGCTTTCTATTGCATATACACTGTACTTAACTTCCAGTAAGTACAAATGCTTGCCTGAACTTGACTCAAAAGCTAACTTGTGTCAGTTTATGTCCTTATTTTTCAAAAATAAAGAACAAAAGTTAAATGTATTGTTATATTTCTGGCACACACCAGGAACCTAGAGGTAGCTGACAAACTCATCCTTTGCATGGGGAAGCAAGACTTCCTGTGCCAGGTTAGGCCCAATGGAACACTTGTGAGTACATGAACTTCACCCTAAAAGGGAAGGTAGACGATCCAAATCATTATCTTTTCTGGTGCAGGGTGAGTCCTGTTGCTAAAAATATAGAGTTGGTTGGTTTGTTTGCTGTATGGGTGTTTTAGTCAGCTTTTCACTGCTGTAACTAAAGGATCTGACCAGAACATCTATAGAGGAGAAAAAGTTTCTTTGAGGGCTCACAATTTCAGAGGTCTTAGTCCATAGAAGGCTGCCTCCATTTCTCAGGCTCGAGATGAGGCTGAACATCATGGCAGAATGTGTGGAAAATGGAAGCAGCTCACATCATGGTGATCAGGAAGCAGAGAGAGAGACTCTACTTTTCAGATACAAATATATACCCCAAAACCATGCCCTAATTCCCACCTCCTCCAGCCACCCCCTACCACTTCAGTTACCACCCAGTTAATCCCTGTCAGGGGATTAAATCACTGATTGGGTGATTTAATTGGCTCTTACAACCCAATCATTTCTCCTCTGAACCTTCTTGCATTGTCGCACACGTGAGCTTTTGGGGGACACCTCACGTCCAAACCATAATAATTGGATGGTGCTTTGTTTCAGAAGGAACGCTTTCTTCAAAGCCAAAGCATTTCACTGCAATCTTTCCCTTAGGAGCCCAAAGGCAGGAGAGGCATTTTCTGTCATTCTGTTGAAGCCTCCCTGTCATCAGCATTTATGAAATTCTATTTCACAATCTGACTGCTAATTAAAGGGCAATTTTCTGCTGTTTCCTCCTTTTCTTTCTTTCGTTTCAATTCATTTTGAAATCTCGCTGTTTTGACAAGTAGTAATCTATGTAAAGATTTATCTCTTTTTTAATTTATTTTACTTAGTTACACATGACAGTACAATGATCTTGACATATCATACATTTGAATCAGATGGGATATAATTTCTCATTTTTCTGAGTGTACAGGTTGCAGAATCACATTGGTCATGCAGTCACATATATACACACAGTAATAATAATGTCTGTTTCATTCTACTAACCTCCCTATCTCCCCATCCCCTCCCCTCCCTTCCCATCACTTCTCTCTACCTAATCTAAGGTAACGCTATTCTTTTTTTTTTCTCTCACATTGGATGGTGGAAGGAGACCCTCATTGCTATACAAAATACAGCATGAAGATGTAAAGATTTATTTCTAATGAAATATTCTCTTTTGTTTCTTAGAACATGCTGTTCCACACACAACACTGCTGCGACAGATAGCTGTGGTTTTCATACTATCCATTAACATCTCCCCTCTTCCTTACCAAACAGCACCCTGCTTTTCTTCCAAGGAAAACTGTCTTCCACTTCAGGGGAACCTTGGTTGCACTGCCACTCCCCATGCTCCCCTGGGTAAGTGGGAAAATGACTCACACCAGGTCAAGCTGACTCTCCCAGAATCTGAAACTTGAGTCCAGTAATGAAAGAAGGACAAATGGCTCTGGTGATGTCATTGCCAGGACATGCTGTGTGCAAAATTGTCATCAGTCCCACAAACTGTATCCCCATGGGTTCCCATGTTCTTATCTTTGTCAAGTTTGATTACTTAAATTTTATTTTAATTATTTGAGCTACTGCATGACCTACTAGTGTATACATTTTTGTTTAAGTTGGCCACAGAAAATTCCTTTTATGTGCAACCAAAAATCTCTTTTTGATAGAGATGTTATAATAGAGGTCACACTGAGAGTATTTTCCTCTATAAGCACAGTTAAGGGTCCTAAATTGATAAGACTACTTATTATATTTTTTTTAAAAAAAACTTTAAATAGCAGAGAGTTATTCGGTTATTTTTTCTAAGGGATCTAAAACCAAAAACAAAACCCTTAGTTTTTTAAAATATTTTTTAGTTGTCAGTGGACCTTTATTTTATTTATTGATACGCAGTGCTGAGACTCAAACCAGTGTATCACACATGCTAGGCAAGCGCTCTGCCACTGAGCCACAATCCCAGCCCAAACCCTTAGTTTTCATGTCACTTATTTTTTCTGTTACATACATTGCCCAAATATTTTATAAATAGGACTAATTAAATTTTGAGAGACATTCTTTTAATCATGTTGGAATCTGATATATTTTAATTTCATGATCCATTACAAAAATACAGAAAAAAGCAGTAAGATAAATACTCTCAATGTTCAAATATGTTTAACTGAAAAATACATGTGAAATGTGTGGACACAGAGGCCTTTATAAAGTGACATCTAGTCTCCATAAAAAGTCTCCAATTTCATATGCTTTGAGGTTTTTAAGTGACAGTCACTTTACCTTCTGTGGTTCCTTTTTTTAACCATCCAAAACAAACATTGCTGAAACCAAAGCATATTTACTGTGAAATTCGGAGAAAGTGTTGATACAACCATTCTGTCATTACTATACACATCTTTTCCCTACAGTCAACACCTTACTTTTCCTGCATACCAGTTCATTTACAACTTGTCTTGTAAAGAAGATGCCAGAATAATCCAGGTAAATGCAACTCCTCAAGCCAATGTGGGTTTACAGTTTTGGGAGGGGGAAAGATTTTTATGAATTATTACATGAAGAGACAAAGTGATAAGGTATATTCGTTGATCAACAATTTAAGAGGGAATTAATTTCCTGTAATTTTTTAAAAAATGTTTATTTTTTATTTATAGGTGGACACAATATCTTTATTTCATTTTTATGTGGTTGCTAAGGTTTGAACCCAATACCTCATATGTGCTAGACAAGTACTCTACCACTGAGCCTCAACCACAGCCCCACCCCATCCCAGCCTGTATGCCTTTTTAATGTTAACTGTATTAGTTCCCTACTGCTGCTGTAACAAATTTTACATTCTTAGTGCCTTAAAACAATAGATACTTACTATCTAATAGCTTTAAGGATCAGAAATCTGAAATGGGTATCCTGCACTAAAATCAAGGTACCAGTAGGCTATATTCCTTTTTGTTTTTTTTTATTTATATATGACAGCAGAATGCATTACAATTCTTATTACACATATAAAGCACAATTTTTCATATCTCTGTATACACAGTATATTCACATCAATTCGTGTCTTCATACATGTACTTTGGATGATAATGATCTCACATTCCACCATCATTTATAACCCTATGCCCCTCCCTTCCCCTCCCACCCCTCTGCCCTATCTAGAGTTCATCTATTCCTCCCATGCTCCCTCTCCCTACCCCACTATGAATCAGCCTCCTTATATCAAAGAAAACATTTGGTATTTAGTTATTTGGCTAACTTCACTTAGCATTATCTTCTCTAACTCCATCCATTTACCTGCAAATGCCATGATTTTATTCTCTTTTATTGCTAAATAATATTCCATTGTGTATATATGCCACATTTTTTAATCCTCTCATCTATTGAAGGACATCTAGGTTGGCTCCACAGATTAGCTATTGTGAATTATGCTTCTGTAAACATTGATGTGGCTGTGTCACTGTAGTATGCTGTTTTTAAGTCCTTTGGGTATAGTCCGAGGAAAGGAATAAGGAGAATCCATTTTCTAGCCTTTTCCAACTAGCGGTCACACACATTCCTTGGCTTATGGCCCTCTTCCACCTTCAAAGACAGCCATAGTAAGTCTTTCTAGCATGGTACTCTAGACGTTGGATCCTCTGCCCCCATGTTCCATATTTAAAGCACTTTGTGATTATATTGGAGCCACCCAGACAATCTAGGATAATCTCTATAATTTTAAAGTCAGAAGATTATCAACTTCATTCAATCCAACATGTTAATTCTCCTTTGACATATACTATAACATGTTCATAGTTTCTGGAAATCAGGAAGTGAACAGTTTTGTGGGCACATTATTCTGCCTACCACATGACCTTTTTTCTATTTTGTTCATAAACATGACTTTTAACATGCCTATATGAATGAAACTTAGCATCAACAATAGCTAACTCACAGGAACTCACTACCATATTTGCTTCAGAAGGAGAAAACAAATCCAATAAAGCAATTCATATTCTTTATCCCTTGCTCAAAATTAATCATGTAACTAAGAGGTGTCATGGTAGAAATAAGATGAGTTTTCTCAATGATCTCATGTATTTTCCTAAACACTAAAGTCAATAGAATGTAAACTTTTTCTTTCTGGGATTTCCTCCAGCATATAGCCGCCATCTTCCTTCTTGAAAGTTGTTTTCAGCCTTCACTTCTAGGCCACGGCACTCTCCTGACCCTCCTGATAGTTGAATTTGTTTGGGACACTTTGAATTGTCATTTTCTTCTACTAAACTCTTAACTGCTAATGCTCTGCAGACTTCACACTCCTTCTTCCCATGAGCTATCCCTTTCTAACTCTACCTCAAAGTTTTTTCTCAGCTAATTTCCAGGAACAATTAAATTCAAACATAATCTCCTGTCCCAAACTCCTTCTCTTAAACTCCCCACCAAGTGCCTACCAGTCATCTCTACCTGGATGCCCCCCCAAATAACTCAGCTTCATATATTTTTCTAGGATTAAAGTCATTGTTTCCCCTTCAAATACCTGCTCCATTTATTAATCTCTTCAACCAATGTCTATTATGACTGAAGCAATCATTCTGTACTGGAAATAAGACACCAAAAGAGAGTACACTGCCTGTAATGAGGTATAGTAAGCCATCATCAGGCAAACAAACAGAAGCAGTAATAACCCAGGGGTTGAAATGAAAGGTCCCATCCACTCAGGTCTCGAGCCCCGGGTTTCAGACCCAGACTCGTAGCTGATGTTTCCCATTTCTGCACCCATCTCCATATTGAATCATTTTAATCTTAAATGATTATTGGATTCATTCTCTTCTTTCTATCATATCACCTACTTCAGATTTTCCACACCAATTTCATTAACAATTTTATGTCTTTTAATGGTCTAACTTCTCTTACTTTTTCTAATCCCTCAAACCCATATAAGTTACAAACAGAAGTAGAACCACCAATATTGTTATCAAAGTGTTTTTCTTAAAAACATAATTGTTTAAAATCTTCCATAACCTGGCTTCCATCCAGCTTTCCCCCTTCATCTTTTGCCACAACTGCACAAAGTTTATATTGTGACTTATCTGCCTATATGTCTGTCTCTCTAGTAGACAGCAAGCTGCTTGAAGATAAAATAAATAAAATCCTATTTGGCTCTAGATCTTGAACTGGACACACAGAATATGCACCATCAGTGTTGTTTTAAACTGACTAACAATGAATACCTGGTAGAGCGCACCCTTGGAAATATCCCAGAAGAGTTCTAAATGATCAGTTACTCCATGACTGACCCATTGCAGAACTAAGCTAGACTGAGAGGACAACACTAAAGAGTTGAGCATGCTTTGTTCCTCAGGACCTGTATCTTGCATCCTTGAGTTTAGAGTGAATTGTTTATGATTCCTATCATTGCTTCTCCAATCACCACTGCTGAAAACATTAATTTACCAATGTAAACAAGGAAAGCAGAATTTGTCTACCTAATTTCCCACTATGTGCAAAATGAAACAGTTGAAAATATGGGTATAAAAACATACCATGTAAAAGCTTTTTGAGCTTGCAAAGAGTTTGGTTCTATTCCTTTCCAGACAGATAAGCCTCCCTTTAAGGAAGCAGGGTGTGGTGGGTCATGCATTTGAGTTTTCCACAACACTCAACTCCAAACATTAGGCATTAACATTCCTAAAAACACTTTGTCACATTTATATTTCCTTGCTCTGTGATAAATGACATTTCATCACCAACACTTCAGTCTCTGCAGGATTACCATGTTTGTCTAGTTACATCACTACACACTCATGAATACTATGCACTTATTTCAGGTATTAGCACGATTTTTCTGTAAAGGGCCAGAGAGTAAATATATTTGACTTTGAGGGACATACAGTCTGTGTCATGGCTACTCAACTCTGCCATCATAGCATGAAAGCAGCCACAGAGAATATGTAAACAAATATGCATGGCTGTGAGCCCATAAACTTGCTTCATAAAAACCGGCAACAGGCCAAGTCTATAGTTTCTCAACCCTAGATTTATGTGATAAAATAAGTTTGAAATAAAAAATAAAAGCCAGGAGCCCAGTAATAATACAAAGAGTAGATCTCACAAAGTTCAATTAAAATAAAGCTAGTAATCATTACAAATGCTTAACATGGGTTGCCAGGAGCCTTTAAACTATGTGCTCCATTTTCAAGGAAAGGAGCAAAATTAAGGACCAAGTATGAGTGGGTACAAATATTTTATAGACACTTTATATGGAAGATGAAGTATAATTAGGATATACACACATGCATATTATAGCTCTATTAAAATAACTGATCTTGTAATATGAAAATTTGATTTTCACAGATTAAACTTGCATGGTCTTTTCAGAAGGAGCTACTTAAGCAACGACCTCAAAATTAATATACTCAGTTAACTGGTGAGGTGGTAACACTCATCAAAGCTATGGTACCTTTCTATAGTACAAACAGTTGGTAAAACTGAGTTGACATATTGGCCTGCCTAGAAACACCATTAAACCAATGAAGCACTATTAATCCTAGTGGATTAAAACAATAATCAGAACCAAGAGAGCTACACTCTCAGACCCTATGATTCTGTTAAAATTTTCAATTACCTTGACCCTGGACGATAGTGCAGAAATATGCAATTGTCAAAAAAGCTGGAATCAGCCAGTACCGCATCTTGCACTGAAAAATCTTCATTTTATTTTCTGCCTTTTACATGGGGTGTAGCAGCTGCCTGGAAACAGAAAGCACAGGGATGTTTTTTTAGAAGCTGAAAGTAAGTATACATGGTCATCTAGGACAGGCAAATAAGCTAATGTGGATTGGCTTTGTTAGGAAATAATTAATTCCCTAGAACATTGTGGATGACAGTCTAAAATGCAAACTGATGAAAGATTTTTTAGAGGAAGTTGTAAATGGAGATAGTGATCTGAAGGCATTCAGGAGAGCGGTTCAGAATGTGCTTTGTGACACTTCTCTAAGGACATAAATTGCATAGTGGATCTCCCAAAGAGATAAATTCCATCACTTTACCTGAAGTGAGCAGTAAAACCCATCAAAATGTCCTATCCGGTCACATGTCCCTCTCATATTTATCACCTATAGTTAGGTAGAACTCCGACCACCGCCTTAGATTGCCTACAGAGTACAAATATACAGGAACTTTCTACTAGCGATCAAGGAGCCCTTGTAAGCCCACTTGGTGCTCTGTGACATCATTGATCGATGTTCTCTTCATTCAGTTGAATGATCTCTAATCTTTTCATCTTTTCTCATAGCTCTTTTTTTTCTAATATGTGAATATAAAACTCTTCCAGATTTTCTTTTTCCTTAGAATATCAGTGAAAGAGAGCTACGAGAGAGAGAGAGAGAGAGAGAGAGAGAGAGAGAGAGAGAGAGAGAAAGGGAAAAGAAAAAGAGGGGAGAGAGGGAGGGAAGGGAAAGGGTCAAAAAGAACATCATTTGCTATTAATCTTCAAGGTCCACCCACACACTAAAATTCTATTTCAGGTCATTATGGAGGAGAAATTCTGAGTCCTGTCCACAGAGATTAAAAAGATGTACTTAGAATCATCTTTATATTCAGAGAGGGCTCAATACATTTTATGGTGAATAAGAAACAGGGAACTGTTTTAGATGAACCATGAGGAAAATTCTGCTCAGCTTTCAGTCTGAGGAAAACCTATACATCTCCTGAAACTTATGTCTTAAAATTTAATCTAATATTAGAACAAATTAAAAGTTTTAAAAAAATATTATAATAATATAGTAGTCTTAAAACTAGCATATTCTATTTCTTAGTTTTAGTCTTGAAATTTAGCATGTTCCTTTTTTTTATTATAATCAGAAATTTGGGGTCAAATTCATAGTCATCTCTACTAACTCTATAGGACCAGATAAGTTTTCTATGCATTCCTTTTACTCATGACTTTATTGTTTTCCTACCAAACTCCCCCTGTACCAGAATTTCTTTTTTAAAAATTCCATATTGCTTATTTAATCTCAAATATTTTTTTGAAATTGCTACCATGCTACTTCTCCCAGTCCTGGATGGTATTCTTTTTGAGGGATACTATACCAGCCCACTCTTGGAAACAAGTTATATAATCTAGTAAGATACAGAGCAACTATGCTTTACGTCGGAGCCCAGCATGGGAAATAAATTTTAGTCAATGCTTGCTTCCATACTTTCTGTCCGTACAGTGCAGTGAAACACTGTCAGCAAGGGGTATGCTGGGTCCTGTAGGAGTCCTAGTCCTGTTCAATTCTGTGAATGGAATGGGTGGGGAAGATTAGCACCATGTCATGTAGTAGCTATAGATGCTAAAGCCCCGGACGGCCCCCTTAGAGGAGACTCCTAAAGTTAAATCTGGCCTCTTCCATTCTTGGGGACACTTGGACCTGACCTTGATAGTGATAGTCACACATGGCCTTGGGTTCAGCTGAATCACCAGGTCAGGAAGTGTCAGTGTTACTTTGGATCTGAGTTAGGGGTAAGCTGAGGATTCCTTCCTTTTCTTTGTAAAACCACAGATCTCCTCCTGTTTTCCTAGCTTCTTCTAACTCCCTCATGATCTAGTCCATGGCCTTGTAGCTGAGTGTCTTTTCATCACAGAGCTGGGAATTTAGGAGATAAATTCCTGTTTAGAACACTTTGTTTCACAAGGGATTTTTTAGGATTCCATTCCAATGCAGTAGTTGCAAAATGGGCATTGCTCCTCAAATTCCAAATGCAGCCTCCCCTGTGTTTATTTGATTCCAAAGGATATATAGAGTCCAGTGCTGATGCCAGGTCATCAACAAATCTAAAGTGCCACAGGAGGAGGTGACTGCTTCCTGAACACTTCCCATAATGAATTAATTCCTTGGTTGATCCTGCAAGCCGGATCAGTGGAGAAGGATTTGATCAGGACCACTTTAGCTGCCTCCCATTGGGCCTCTGCTGTACTTAACTTAAGCAGCACTGAATGTTGCCAAAATAGCTTCTCCACAGGAGGATTGCATAACTCACAAAAGAGTCCAGGAGATGGCCTCCGCTTATGCCTTCTCTTGGAAACGCTGCCCTTTGCTGCTGCTTGCTTTAACCAAATTCCCGTAACATCCAAAGCTTTGAAGACTAGAGCTGGGTCCCTGTGAGGAGAGACTTGGACAAGGATGTGTCTCAGGGATTCCAAGGTTCTGTCCATCTGTGAAGGCCTCCTGCACAGAGTGTTCTGATGCTTGAACTCTTAGTCCTGGGCTGAATTTGTGCATCCAGTAATACACCAGATTACCATAGAATCTCTTTTAACAACTACCAATCAGACATTTCCTGGAGTCTAAAACTACCTGGACAGCCCTCCTGCCTCTCTTATCTTCATTGTATCAATGTATTATCATTTTTATGTAATGTCAAATTCACATAGCTAATTTTCAAATTTATATTAATAACCAATGCTGACTTTCAATTTTCTTTTCTTAAAAAAATTTGGCATCCAGATATTTCTAGCTTCAGAAAATAAATTAAAGCTTTCTGTATTTTTAGTGTTTTGCAATAGTTTAAATAGCTTGAGATGTATCTATGAAAACCTGTTAGTAACAGGAGTAAGAACATCAAATGGACATGTTTGGTTTGGGGTTTTTTTAATGTTTTATTTTTTGATGCTGATTCTTATACAACTTTTTCAATTTTTTTGTTTCTTTATAGATTTACATAGGTTTTCTACTTCTTAACTCTAATTTGGATATTCTTCCATGAAATTATTCTTTTTATTTGGATTTTCATATTTATTAACACATAGTTGTATCATCTCTCAATTTAAATTTTTTTCTGTTTATCTCTATACTGTGTGTATTAAGTTGGTGTTTTTCTAACTTCTCTCTTCCCTCCTACATAAATAAGCTACAGATTGTCCAATTTGCAATACTTTAGAACAACTATTTTACTAAATTGTCAGTACTGTTTTGTTTACCAAAAATTTGCATTTATCACTTGTAGTTGCTTTCTTATGCTTTATGCACTTCTTTTTTTTTAGTTTTTGTTGTTCCTTTATCATTGCTGTTTTTGTTTAATCCTGAATTAATATAATGCCATTCTGTAGTTGAGGCCATTAATTCGCCACTTAATATTTGTTGACAGCATCATATTACCTTTAATTTCCTTTTTAACCCCGGAGTTAGTACAATGAATACACCAAAACAATTCTGTGAACCTTCAAAGCTATATGGTTTACAACTTAAGCCTGATATTCAAGCTTCATTCCAGAATAACGTAGTATATAGACAGTAATAAATGAATAATAAAGAAATTTGAAAAGAATAGGTAACATACTAAGTGACCAATATCTATAGGTCATTTTAGCCTGATTTAATTTATTACATATTAGCAAACCAATTATTTGTTAGGACAGAGAAGACATGGAGTAAATAGTGTAGAAGTTTTGATAAAGCACCAGATGAAAAGTCCTGGAACATACATAGAACCCTCACCCTACAGAGACAGGTAAATCAAGCTTAGTGGATTATCCAGAAGGGTGTGAGCAACCCGTATGTAGACAGAAGGCATGAATACAGGGGGTCCAAAAGATGCAGCAGCCAGGTTCAGCCCTATCAAATCAGTGCATCAGTAAATATGCTAGGCACACAGGTAGCTATCCCATATATCCAAGGAAAAATATAGCAGTAGAACCACTTTCTCAACTCAAATGAAGTGTTCTTTCTAAAATTATCTGTCTCCAGTGATATAACCAGAGGGGTCAGCTAGAACAAGGCATGAGATGAAAGGTAAAGAAACAGGCCACATTTGTGTTTCAGGTATGCACACTTAAGTTCAGGACATGTCAATGGCTCAAACCTATAATCCCAGTGGTTTGGGAATCTGGGGCAGGAGAATCACAAGTTCAGAGCTAGCCTCAGCAACTTAATGGAGCCCTAAGCAACTTGGCAAGACCCTGTCTCAATAAAAGGGGCTGAGGATATGGCTCAGTGGTTTACCCCAGGGTTCAATCCTCGGTACCAAAAAAAAAAAAAAAAAAAAACAGATCAGGACACATGTATCAGACATCACATGATACTACTTTAAAAGGTTGTTTTTCAAGTCATAGTCAGGTGAACAATCTTTTCTCTGTTCTCATCCAAGCACTGAAATATCTGTGTGCGGATGTTTCCAAGCAATAATTAACATATAACACTGGAAGTTAATCTGCTTTCACTGGCTTTAAGAGCTAACTAAACAAATAAATCAATGCTACATTAGCCTTGGCAACATTTGGGGGAACTAAGTATTATTTACATGGAAAAAATTGTAGGCAGAGCCAATCTTTAAATTCTGCTCTTTTTTGTTGTTTATTTTAAATTAGGATGAGCAATAGCATATTGGAAAAAGTGGAATTTTATCTTCCCAAGCTTTTCTGCCAAGTCCCCAAACTTTTGGACTGAAAAGTAGGGGCAAGAAAAATCCCAAATTCTACTAACATGCCATGAGATATTTTAACATTTACCAAAATGTCAAAGTCAAATTTGTTGAAACTCTGCCCAAAAGCCTGTACAAAACAAGAAATCCTGCCTTGATTTTTCCCCCCTGGGTTTAAATATTTATTTATTTATTTATTTATTTATTTATTTATCTAACTTTATTTTGCTTGAAATCATCATGCTAGAAATGGCTACCTAGCTCTGAGTTCAGAGGTATAAAGTAAATTTGAAGAGAGGTGATAATATGTAATATAAGATATCCTAAAAGAAAAATAAGCCACA